TGTGATTTGTAACATGAAATTGACATTGTTTCATAATCAGACAATCCAAGCTCTTTTAAGATTTGAATTAAGGTTTTGCGCCCAGTTTGATTAGTAATCTTACAACCAGAAATATCAATATCACATGACTCTACTAGTCATTTAAAGAAAGCTTTCATCGAATTTTCTCCCAAATACGTTTTTTCATACCAAACCTCAACAGTTTTAAAATCCTCTGTAAGATACAAAAAAAATTAATATATTTATTAATCACTAATAAATACGATAATTATTTACTTACCATGATTTTTTTTAATTGGATGAAGATAGAATTGAGGGTCAGCATTAAGTAGATGTTTAGCTATATATGTATCATACGATTCAACAATATCAAATATTGGTGGAATAGAAAATGTTTCTGCAACACCAGGACTTTCGAGACTTCTTTGGTTAGTTTTTGATCAAAAAAGTTTAACTTCATAACCACCAGTGTCTTTTTTTTTAAAAGAAACAAGTTCTAATAAAAAGTGTTCTCCACCACGTAGACCAAGACAAAGTGCATTAAAAAAGAAAACTCTATTTAGCAATCCTTTGGGATTAAGTCTTGATGTTTGAGAATGCGATAGAATTCGTTAAACTTCATCAATTATTAAGGCATCAGATCATTTTGATTCTCCATACCCACTTGCAAACAACATTTTAATTTTTCCATTCAATGTATACCAAAGATCAGGGTGTGCCTTTTTATCATTTAGGTCAATCGATTTTAATTTGCTTGTTTTACCATTAAAATACCAGTTTAATGCATTAATTGCAGATTGAAGAGATGCGACAGAATATTCATCACCATTAGTTTTACAACATACAGTAAAGTATTTACAAAGCTCTTCTTCAAGTTGTTTTGGGTTTGAAATATCTGATAATTCACCAGGAAGGTTTGTATCTTTACGATAGTTCTCAAACTGGTTTGTCCAATTCAAAGTAGACCTATATGTGTTTTCTACTACAGACTTCTTTTGTAATGATATAATTTCTTCTGGCGTAGGCTCCACATATGTAAATCGTTTCTAAAAAAGTTTAATATATAAATAATAAATAGTAATATATAATTAAAATAATAAATAAATAGATAGTATGTGAACCTTTTCTTTGGATACTTTGGGTATTATACTTATTTTTTTAAAAAAAGCTGCTGTTTTTTTTTTAAAAATACTAACTGCCTTTGTAAAATAAAGTTATATTATAAAAGTAGAAGAAAGAGATGACGAAAATGCAAAAAAAAAATCTTATTTATAGCAGACTAGCTGGCTTTAAAATGTAAACTGACTTTTTTTTATATGATCAAATAAGTATGGCAGTAACAACTGCCAGACGATAATAATGTTATTGTATGAGGGTAAAAAATATTGATACAGTGGTATGAATGTGTATCAGTGATCAAATCGAATATCTGTTAGAGGTATGTGGGCCACTATCGTGGCCTACATACCTCTAACAGATATTTGATCTGATCACTGATCTACACCCGTACCACCGTACCAATATTTTTTTGCCCCCTATACAATAACTTATAATTACTGATTTGCCAGTCAACCAAAGAAGATCTGCAAATTTTTATAAATAAATTTTACTATTGAGCAAATATGAAGTGCATCAATTTAAAACTTTTTTTCTTATTAAGTAAATTACTCTTGAGCTCATGACAAAAGTTGTAAAGTTCATCAAGACATATCTAATAGTGGTAAGAATATTAAAATTGGTTTAGTAGTTCTTGAGAAATCTTTAAAAAACATTTCACTGATATATAAAATTTTTTTAAAAAAATTTGATTTTTTTTAAAGAAATTTTATATATTAGCAAAATGTTTTTAATGATTTCTCAAGAACTATTAAGCCAATTTTAATGTTTCTATAACTTTTGTTATAAGCCCAAGAGTAATTTACTTAGTAATAAAAAAGTTTTAGATTGATGCACTTCACATTTAGCTTAATAATAAAATTTACTTATAAAAATTTACAGATCTCTTTGATTGACTGGCAAATCACCAATTAAGCTATTTAAAAATTATATATTTCTATCTGTAGCTATTGCTAATCTAACCAAACAAGAGACTTACTCTTGGCTTTTTGCTTAGATGCAACCTGCCTTAGTAGTCCTTGACCTCCTTCTAAATCTTTAACTTACTAAGAATTTATTTCTTTTTAATCACAAGCTGGTAACTACTCACCTTGTTAGTATTGCTATTTATATTTATTTTAACTTTGCAATTCATCTATAAAAAGATCAATTTGGTTCTTACCACCTATATCAAATTCTTTATGTTTCTAAATATTGCAACTTTTGTACATTCTCTCTTTTTATCTTTTTGCTCTTCTATTTGTTCTAAATTTTCTTTATTTTTTTGGTTTTCTTTACTTCTTTTCTTTTTTTTTCTTATTGCACTTTTTTGTTTCTTGTTTTTCTTTACAATTCTTTATCTTTTTTTCTATTCCTTTTGTAGCTTATATCTAAAGTTTCAGATGTGCTAATAGAATTTTTTCCTGAGCTTGTTGAGTGCTATATTTATTATTTTGCTGACTGCTTATCCGTTTCGAAATATATTCTCTATTCTTTGTTTTGTTCTCTTTTAATTAAGCCTCTAATCATATAGATTTTTATTTTTATTTACTCTATATTCATTATACCAATATATTTTCTTTTATTATAGCTTTAGTTGATATCCTTTTGGTAAGTTTTTTTCTTATAATTTTCTCTATTTTATTATATATTTCTTCTTCTATTATACTTAATATCTCTTAATATTTTTTGCAGCTTATTAAGCGATCTATTGTCTCTAGTTTTTTTGGCAAATAATATACTTGTTGGTCTTGTACAAGTCTGGTCTCCTTGTTTTCAGCTTGGACATTGTTGGCAGTACTTTGTTTAAGTATTTAACTCTAAATATTTATTTATCATTTATTTTATTATCTAAATATTTGTTATACATATTTTTCTCTAATCTAAACTATTCTCTATTTCCTTCTCTATCCATCTTTTCATTCTGCTT